AGAGTAATCTTGGTTGTACGTTCCTGCTTTTTCATCACTGAGTATTTTGTGCCAGTTCCTTCTGGCCTGCAAAGTTTCTGTTTAGAAATCAGCTGATAGTCTTGTGGGAGCTTCCTTGTAGGTAACTAACTGCTTTTTTTCTTGCTGCTTTGATGATTCTCTCTTTGTCTTTAAATTTTAACATTTTAATTATGATGTGTGTTGGTGTGGGCCTCTTTGGGTTCATCTTATTTGGGACTGTGTGCTTCTGTTTCCTTTGCCAGGTTAGGGAAGTTTTCTATCATTATTTCTTCAAATTGTTTTTCAATTCCTTATTCTTTCTCTTCCCCTTCTGGAGAAGGCAACCCTATGATACGAATGTTGGTATGCTTGATATTGTCCCAGAGGCACCTTAAACTATCCTTACTTTTTTTTTTTTATTCTTTTTTCTTGCTGCTGTTCTAATTGTGTGTTTTCTACTACTGTGTTTTCCAAATTGTTGATATGAACCTCTGCTTCATGTAATCCAGGGTTGATTCTCTCTAATATAGCCTTTATTTCAGTTATTGTATTCTTCATTTCTGACTCGTTCTGTTTTATGTTTTCTCTTTCCATTTTTGTTTCCTGTCTCTTTGTTGAAGTTCTCCAGGAGATCATTGAATATCCTTATAAGCAGTGTTTTGAACTCTGCATCTGGTAGATTGCTTGTCTCCATTTTGTTTAGTACTTTTTCTGGAGCTTTGTTCTATTTTTTCATTTGAGATGTGTTTCTTTGTTTCCCAAATTTGGCTGCCTTCCTGTTTTTGTTTTTATGTATCAGTTAGATCTACAATGTCTCTTGGTCTTAGTAAAGTGGCTTTATGTAGTAGGTGTCCTGTGGGGCCCAGTGGTGCTCTCTGGTCACCTGAGCCAGGTGCTGCAAATATGTCCCTTGTGTGTGTTGCATGTGCTCTCCTATTGTACTTGAGCTTTGATTGCTCTTTTTACATCCGTGGGAGGAATTGATCCTCAGGCTGATTGGTTGTGAGGACGTGCTCTGACTACAGTGGAGGAAGTGCCATGGCAGGGGCCGATCCTATGCAGCAGGATTCACTTTAGTGGGGCTCTGGTGCCTGCCCAGTGTTCCCTTTGACTGTGTTATTAGTAGAGGAGGTTGGGTGTTAATCTGAAGCTGGCCACTGGGTGTGTTGTTTCTCAAGCCCTTTGGGAAGGGTGTGTTGCAAGCCAAGGTCACCTGCTGCCTGTGCCCTGTCCAAGGCCACTTGGTATGATGTCTGTACAGAGTGATCTGTAAAGGGTTGCCACTCGTTCTGGGCTTGGAGGTGGCTGGGAGAGGCTAAGCTGCAAACTGAGGCCGGCTGCTGCTAGTGCCAGGCTTGGGGCTGCTTAGCAGGAGAGGCAGGGTTCATGGAGGCTAGATGAGGCTTGTTTGGAGTTTGTGAACCTTTGAGACATTTTAGGAAATTCCACAGTATAATCCAAGACAGGCCATTTTTATGGAAAAACCACTGGGAGCGGCTTGGGTGGGCCAAAATTTGGGTGGGGCAGGGCCTCAGGGAATCATCAGGGTGAATGAATGCCACTAGCAGGTTGATGGAGACTCAGATGTGGCTTCCTCCTGCGTCCGCCCACTCGGTGGGGGGAGGGCTCAACAAAGGAACAATGGCTTCTGCAAGCACTTCTGTCTAGGAGAAAACAGCCCCTCCAGCCTTTATCCTGAAGCCAGACAATTAATTTCCTCCCCTTCTGTGCCTGGTGCCTTTCAAGCTGCTGCTTCAGCATTGGAGCTCAGAGCTAGAGAGTCCATTAGTGAGTAAGTCCCTTTAAGAGAGGCAGGCCCTTTAAGAGAAGCACCTGGGACTCCAGCTGCCTTCCCGTCTCACTCAGCCACAATCTCCACTGGTTTTCACAGCCCGCAGTTGTGGGGACTTCTCTTTCTGCCTTGGAATCCTGGGCTAGGGAGCCTGGTGTGGGGCTGTGACCTCTCACCCAGGGGAGACCTCAGCAGCTGAGATACCCCTCCCTATTTTTAACCACTGCATGTGGGTTTAGGGCCAGCTCCATCAGCATCTTCACTCCTCCCAGCAGTCTTGATGTGGATTCTTCTGTATGTCCTCAGTTTTAGGGCTTTTGTTCAGCTAGACTTCAGGTGATTCTCAATGATGGTTGTTAACATTGTCCACAAAGGAAAGTGTGTTCATATTTTCCTATAGAAAAGACTCTTTGATAATCTTTCTAAAGAGTGGTTTCATATGCTGTGACTTTTCCCCAAGTGGTAGTTTCTTATACATAAAAAAGTATTTAAGATCATTCTTTAAAGTGATTCTATGTTTGTGTGAGGATTTGGAATTCTAACATGTTGCCCACAAAATTAACTTACTTTTTAAAGTAAAGATTCCTCTTTACTGTTAGTATTCAGCTTGTTTGAAAGTCATAGCTATAAAGTTCTTTTTGGTTTCTGTATAATTGAACTCTTTTACCTCCTTTCCAGTCATATATCTACCTTAACTTATATCACATCAAGTTGATATATTAGAATTGATTTTAAAATACATAAGTTTAGGGTGATAAACTATAATATACTGTTATAATGGCAATTATAAAACCTCAAAGTAATATCTAACACTTCCTGAGTATACCAGGCACTCCTGTAAGTATTTTACATGTATGATTTCATTTATGCTCATATGAGTACAAATTAAATAATTTGGACAAGGACAGCCTTAGGAAGTAAAGGATCTAAGACTCAAACCCAGGTCTTTTTTGATGCCAGAGCTCAAGCTTGTAATCCTTCCTTTATATTTCCTGTTCTCATAGAACTCAGAAAAGTAAACATGTGTTTCTTCAATATTAATAAAAAAGGCACTTCATTGCTGACTCCAGAAAATGTTTTCAAAGCATATTTGTTCCAATATACCCAAATAAATGAAAACTGTATAAAATAGCTATGCAAGGCTGGAAAGCTTATAAGCCTACCATAGTGTGTATATAATGAGGCATAGAGTTTTCCATATTATCTCCTAACTTTGTAAGTTCTAGGATTTAATGCTTTTTCTGCCTCCCTGCATTTTTCATTAGTTTCTTTATAAAACTTTGTCATACTTATAAATTATATTTTACTTTTCATGTTATATTCCAAGAACCAAATCCTTGTGAATTTATTTTCAGATTTCCACATTATTCCAAGAAAGCAGAGCATACTGTTGGCAGTACACATCTGAGAACTTACATTTTAGATTAGCCTGTGAATTTCTCAAGTTGACATTACTTTACCTTATCCATAGGGCGTTCTCTGACCCTTGCATGGACAAACCATCAGAGGGCAATGATGTCAACTTTAATATTCGTGTGCTAGATTTTAGGTAAAGAAAAATGCCAGTTCTCTACTATGTTCTTTTAATCAAAGCCACACATGCTCTCTGGATTTTCCATTTCATCATTTACTCATCCATACCTATGTTCAATTATTGCCTTGAAAATTTTACTTTTGGAAATTGTGAATGAAAGCCAAGCAGTGTGCAATCTAACATGGATTCTCTAATTTCATCCTAAGAATATATGATGTAGGTGATATTGTTATAACACCTAAGGATATTACTCAACCAATAAGTGGCCACAGCTAATCAGTTTGACTCCATAGCATGTACACTCAACCCTATGAGTACATGTCGCATTTACTCAGGAAGCAAAACCATGGAGTAAAAACTTTAAATTATGGTTTATTTAATCATTCATTCACCAAATATTTAAGGACACTCATGTTCTAAATACTGTACTAGAATTGTTATTTAAGAAAAAACCTGTATGTTGAATATTTAAAACTTAGCATCAAGCCCAGGAAGCAAAATAATAATACTAAAGATGAAAAAATAAGGAATAAAATGTAAATGCGAACTTTGAAGCACTAAATTTCAAATATCAAAAGTTCAATTTGACGTATTATAATTGACTCCCTGGGTACAAAAAAGTATTTTCTCTAGAGCCTCCAAAATTAAGTTCTATAGTCTTTTCTTTCTTTTCAGTTATATGATTCCTGAGCTCTCTTTACTACTGAATGACACCTTAAGTGAAAAACTGGGATCAGTAATCAAATCTGACTCCCTGCCTGGTTCTGTGTTTAGCCATATGCTAATTTTTAGGTAATTCTTGAAGTACCAAATTTCAAAGTATTTATAACTCTTTTGTATGAATGATAGAAAACTATGGCTTTCTCACTGTCTCCTTCCTATTTTCACCATCAATATTTTAGCTTACCTGTAATAGTTATATTGGTTAATTTAAAATTTTTAAATAATACTTAAATTTCTACTACTTAATTCATTATTATGTCATTATTATGACTAATTCTAATGACAATATGATTATTATTTCTTTTGTCTCATATATATTATATATACACAATCTTTTCTTAAATGAAATTTTCAGAATCATGTTTCTCCATGGTGTAAAAACATTTTTAAGGATCAGTACACTTTCTGTTTTTTTACCTCAATCATTTCCTAGTTGCTTAATATTCTTATCTTTTATAACTGAGAATTTTCTTGATTCTTTATTTCATTTGACTTCTATTTTCTCCTCTAAAACTATTATTAGATGAATTTTAGACTTCCTAGGTTAATTATCCAGGTATTCCAGATTTTCTTTTCATTGTATTTTTCATTGAGATATATAATTTTCTACATATTGTGGTAAACTTCCTCAAGATTATATTTTACCATGCTTTAGAATTTCTTGATTACAATAACTTGATTTTCTGAGAACTCCTATTTTCTAACTATTCTTCCACATTTCAGACTTAAATGGACACAATAGCTCTTCAAGTATTTCTGAGTGAATTATAGGATTAGAAAGTTTAATATTCTCTTACATTTCCTGAATTATTGGAATTAGTAACTCTAGTTGTTCATCATCATTATTTTTTCTTTTGTATCGTTGGTTTACCTTGAAAGGTCTTGGAAATTTTTGTCCAATAGACACCTGCAAGCCTGGCATGCAACCGTTAAGTTTGTGACTGTCAGATTTCACTTTCATGTATGTGTATGGGGAGCATGGCATCTGTTTGCTTCCAAACATACACACATATACTAAATAATGATAAAAGTATTACTAGGACATTCTAATACCAATTTCAGAAACTCTAATCCACCCTGGGGGTTCATGAGGTTATTTACTTATTTATTAAATTTTTTAGTTTTAGAAGTTATGGAATTCTAACCCTAAGCCAACACCAATCTGTCAGCATCTCTCCTTGTCTGCATGTATGGCAGATGAGCAGTACTTCAAACAGGGCAGCTGTTCTGGAGATGGACTAATGCCATGCTTTCCATCCTGTTTGTCATTCCCAGTGTTCCTACCTTCGAGTGCATGTCTCTGAAGCTTTGATGGAAGAACAGCTCTCACACTCATGTGCCTATTTCTGAGCCTCTTCTGAAATGTGGCTTCCTTTGGACTACTTTATCTGTTGGTCTATTTCCATCTGTTCTTTGTCTTTAAAGAGCTCATCACAAATTCTAATGAGCAGCTCAACATCATGAAGACCCACCTCATTATCTGTTTTTGACACTAATGTGCATTTTTCAATTTTTGAAATCCTAATGCTTAAGTAGGATTATGTGAAAAAGGGGCGAAAACCTATGCTTATGTTGGCATTTTCACGAGCAACTTTTTAAATAGGAAATTTAATAATAATAGTATTATTCAGTGTCACATAATATTAGTAACATGACCTAATATTTTTTCAGTACATTACATATTACTAATTTTTAATAGCATTAATGATATTAGTATATGATATATAATTATAATATTATATAAATACATACATATATAAATATAATTTGTACATACATCTTTTATTTACTATTTAATAGTATTTATTTGATATCAGTATGTCTTGTGTACTTAAATTATATTTTGTATATTAACTATGGTATTAATATATGTAATATAGTATTTAATATACAGCCAGATACATATGCATATGTAATAAGTGTAATTGAATTAAATTTTTAAAATGTTAAGTTCAGCTATATTCTTAGTGACTTGTTGAAATAACAAGAAATGATATATTCTCAAAACTTTATCATTTAAATTAAAAGACAATCCTATTTAATTTTGTTGTTTCTTTTTATATCACTTAAATTGATTTATTTTTATTTTTTTCAATGCTTCCTATTTTTAAGGGTAGCAGGATCTTTACTTGAGAAGTTACAAGATGGGTAATATAGTTGCACTTCAGATAATAAGGTTTGGAATGTGCATACTGGTTTTTTATTGGTTTCCAGGTCACAAATCTGTTACTCAAAATATTTTATTGATACAGTGTCAGCTCTTTGACTATTTTTCTCAGTACATATAAAGTCTATTTCCATTCACATTCATCATTCATTAAAGTATAGTTTCTTTCAATTTATGAATTTGTGGTGTTTTGGGGGTGATAGGAGGACACTGGAAAATTGTCAATTTAAGCTGTTACTGTAATAGAAGTTCTCCATGATTTTGAGCACCAGAAATTAGTCTACTTTTTAAAAATGAAACCAATTGCAGTTTTTCTCCATTTTTGTGCTTCAGTGTTTAATCTTGTCTGTCATGCAGAGTTGATATCTTCTGACAAACACATTGTCTTCCCGTTTATGGCAGTTCTTAGTAGTATATAGAATGTGTTTTATTCCATACAACCTTGAAATTGTCAACAAACTTGTATTTTAATCACTTTTCTGATGAGCATTTTAACTATGGTATTTAAGTATTAAGTGACAAGGAAATTAATACCAATTTGTCTCATTTTTGTATATAATATTAGTGTTCCACCAAAACTGAGGAATCTAGTAAAGTATCCCCAAGTGTCAATCTCAAAAGTCAGTCATTAACATTTAATAATACATTGCCTCTGCTTTTTGATACATCTAAGCCTGTAAAGTCATGAATTTATTTGTGTTTAGGGCATTACTCCTTATCTTCAGGCTGCACATTTTGTTTCTAATATGGATATTATGACTTGTGTGATGCATTTATCTTTTTAAAAATATCACAAAATGTGATTATGTGCTTTATTTGCATCTACTGAATTTTTAATATTTTGTGGTTTGGATTCTATATTCCTCTTTAGAAATAAAATGTATTTAAATATAAGTCCAAATTTTAAAATATCCTCATTTTTCTGTGTTTAATATTTAAAATACTTTTCATACAATATTTAATTTTTATGGCTTTGATTAATATTTATTTCAAAATTTAGGGTTAAAATTATAATAATTTTCATTAGAAAGAACTTAAGATCAGATTAAAACAATTTTTAATCACATTACTGTATTTACTGTTTAGATCATAAAACCACTGATTATAATAAGTTGTAAAGTCGTATCTTCAATAATTTTTTTTTCTGGTAACATTTTTGATTAGGTCCAGGTTTTTGTTATTTTGTTGTTGCCTGTTTTAACAGAAACTTTGTAGCCAATTGTGATATATCCTCTTCAGGAATCAACACTTAGCAATGACGATAACAACAATAAGTATTACCTATTGGCAGCTGAATACTTAATAAGTTTCAAATATTTTGCTTGGTGCTTTGTGTGCATCATCTCATTTAATCATCAAACAGGTTTATGTATTGTTACTGTGACTTTTGTACATCAGAAGATACAGGGCAGAAGAGCTGTCATATTTCCTGTTCAAGATGACACAACTCTACGGGCAGAGCTGGAATTTCTGACCACGCCTGTCTGACTTCTAAGTGATTGCTTTAAAGTTACATGGTATCCCGGCAACACTTGATTATTTTTTATATTATAAAAAAATTATTTTTATTATTTAAGTAGAATCTGGTATCATAAAAAAGTTAATTTGATATGTGTCTCAAATAATCCTGATAATAAGAATAGCTATTATTACTGGGCAAGATGGAACACAAATCATCTTACTGAAGTTCTGAAATGTACTTATCACAAGCCACCACGAAAGTTAAGTGCTAATATAATTCCAGCTATGAAGATAGCGACATTGGTAGAATGAGATGAATTTTGAACATCGGTTATTCTGAAACCTGAGTTTCAAACTCCTGCATATTCTCTCTCCCAAATATAATGCCTTCAGCTTATCCACTACTACAAACCCCATCATGTCTTTTTCATTCATTCATGGCTTCTCAGAGTTTCTTTTGCATTATCAAAATGTCATCTTTGCTATTTGTTCTCATGATTACTAAAATAAATAAATTGCATAATATTAATACATAATTATATAATTATAATTATAATACATAATTAATACATAATACATTGCATAATATAATACAATAGCAAACAGATACTTATGGCATTGCAAATGTTTCATGTAAAACATCATAGAAATATACAGTTAATTTTGTTTTAGAATTAGATTAGATTCATGGTTAACAATATTTTAGTGGGTCATCTTTCTGAAGGTATGAAACATACTTCATTTTTGAGGAGTGTTTTTTTCTACATGATCTTTGGATTACAAAATGATATTATGTGTTACAAAGTACATTATAATCTAAAAACACATTTGGATTGAATACCTCTTTGATTTTTGGAAACCAAGGCTATTTTTACTGTGTATCAGTCTTTTAGAGTTTGCCTTGAGGGGACAAATTGATCTTTGGTGTGCTGTCTTCTTTCTCATTTATTATTTCCCTCAGATATCCCTTGGACTACATCCTGGGTCCACTCTGATTCCAATGAACAGCATTTCTCTGCCACAAGGAGAAGATGATTACGGGTATCAGTGTTTGGAGGGCAAAGATTGTACCAGCTTCTTCTGCTGCTTTGAAGACTGCAAAACAGGATCATGGAGGGAAGGAAGGATACACATACGCATTGCCAAAATTGATTCCTATTCTCGAATATTTTTCCCAACAGCTTTTGCCCTGTTCAATCTGGTTTACTGGGTTGGCTATCTTTACTTATAAGTT